TAGTCCAGTGGCAAAACTTACAACTGTACGAGTCCTACTTGCAGTTGCAGCCAACAAAGACTAGAATTTGTGGCAAATGGATGTGAAGAATGCTTTTCTTCATGGAGAGCTGGATCGGGAGATCTACATGATCCAACTAATGGGTTTTCAGAGCCAAGATCATCTTGAATATGTGTGTAAGCTGCGGAAAGCACTCTACGGATTGAAACTAGCACCCAGGGCGTGGTATGGTAAGATTGCTGAATTTCTAACTCAAAATGATTATTCAGTAACACCTGCAGATTCTAGCTTGTTTGTCAAAGCCAATGAAGGTAAGCTAGCTATCGTGCTAGTGTACGTGGATGACTTAATCCTAACCGGTAATGATAACGCAGAAATTCTTCAAATGAAGGAGAATTTATCAATTCGTTTCCAAATGAAGGAACTTGGACAGCTCAAGCACTTTCTTGGTCTAGAGGTTGATCGCACACAAGAAGGAATATTTCTTTGTCAACAGAAATATGCCAAAGATTTGTTGAAGAGGTTCGGAATGCTCGAATGCAAGCCAATTTCGACGCCGATGGAGCCAAATGCCAAAATGTGTGAACATGAAGGAAAAGATTTGGAAGATGCGACGATGTATCAACAATTGGTAGGTAGCCTGATCTACTTAACCTTGACACGACCTGACATTTCTTATGCAGTTGGTGTGATGAGTTGGTACATGCAAAATCCAAAGAAGCCTCATTTGGAAGTAATTCGACGAATACTGAGATATGTGAAGAGTACAATTGACTATGGTCTTTTGTACAAGAAAGGTGAAGACTGTAAGTTAGTTGGTTACTGTGATGCTGACTATGCAGGAGATCATGATACCAGGAGATCAACAACTGGGTATGTGTTTAAGCTTGATTCCGAAGCAATTTCTTGGTGTAGTAAGAGACAGCCGACGGTATCATTGTCAACCACTGAAGCTGAGTATCGAGCTGTAGCAATGGCAGATCAAGAGAGTACATAGTTGATACAGCTGATGAATAATCTACATCAACCAGTAGATTATGCAATTCCGTTGCACTGTGACAATCAGTTGGCAATTCGTTTGCAGAGAATCCGGTCTTTCATGCAAGAACTAAGCATGTTGAAGTACACTATCACTTTATCAGAGAAAAGGTTCTGCAAGAAGAAATTGAGATGAGGCAAATCAAGACAGATGATCAAGTTGCGAACTTGTTCACAAAAGGCTTGAGCACTGGCAAGTTCGAAATGTTTCGCTATCAGTTCGGCACAGTGCAAATAGTAAGAGTTGGTGTTAAGGGGGAGTGTTGAAGATCAACCCCAGCCCATTACAAAGCCCAACCTACCCTTTATTTTAGCCCAAGGAAAATAAAAGCCCAATCCATTTTATCTAAACCCAAGACAATGGAAGCTTCTCAACAAATGTGGAAGAAAGATATTTTTAAGAGAAAATTGTAGAAGGATGTAGAAAGGAGATTTTAGGAGAAGTGTGTAGAATGTGGTAATAATGTATGGCTACGATTATTTCTCAATTTAATATTTGTATGTTGTAGATTGCATGGTGAGGACTACAAATACCCTCCCTTGCATTTGGGTTAGGAATCCTTAAAAAAATAAGTCTTTGTATTCTTAGTTTGAGTGTGGTGTCTTGTAAGTTGTGAGCTTCTTATTAAGTGTCTATTTCTCTTCAAATTGGGAGTAGTCTTTGGAAAGTGTTGTAGTGTCTTTTATTGTGGGTATAATACAAGTAATTTGTTTACTTGTTTGGGTCCAATATTAGTAAGTTTAGAGTTGTATACTCTAAAGTTTACTCAACACATAATCTCTCAAACTCTGCAGCAATTTTGTCTCTTGATTTTCCACTTGAATTTCCATTCCCATTTTTCGCCTTCTTCGGCGAATGCTCGGATTCATGCTCCTTGCCTTCTGCCTTCTGTTTCTTAGTCATAATTTTCTCTTCATCACCAGATGAGTGAGCCCGAGATCTTGTCTCATGAATCTGCACATTCATATAAATCAGTATATATGGTTTTGCATAGTTATTCTATTTGGCTGAAAAATAAAAAAGTAGGCAAGTTATTATTATTTTATTTTATTTTTGTGTTAAAAGGTTTCGAGGGGCAACTGGGTGGATGGTTCCACCCTATCTGAGTGTGACCATAACAACCCGAACCCACAAGAGAAATCCACTAGCCGAGATAGATGTAGGAAACTACATCGCTCCTAACTCGAACCATAGTGTAACCCGACACCTCACAAGCTATTACTTCAAGAGACACAGTGAAGAATCTCCAAAAAGAACTCACTAATCACTCATTAAACTCGGGAAGGAACTCAAAACAACCATCCAAAAGGAGAAACTTAAAACGAAAAAAAACATAGAAACCCTAATAAACACACAGAAAATACTTTTATTTTCCCAGAACCCATACATATGGGGAAAGCACCGTCAATAAAAAAGAAGAGAAACAGAAAAGTGAAAATCAAACAAGGAACAAACCATCATATTCCACCTTTCTGTTTGTTTCTCCTGAAACCCGAAAGGAAAAGAGAAACAGAAAACAACGATAATTCCCAACAACCAAACATAAAAACTATGTAGACAAAGTTGAACAGAGAGGTATAGTCCAGCAACAACGTTGGGTACGTAAAAGTGCAAGTTAAGGATTCTTCTACATAAACCAACTGTAACATGGTAGATCAAACCACTTAATCAGACACGTACTTAGTTTTTGTGCATGAGCGTGGCTTCTCTGTCGTGTCCATAAGCAAACCTATGGATGTAAGAGTTGTGAGCATGCCACGAATTCAAGTGGGAATTCTTCAGAACGTCCCTTGGACATGTGGTCTGAATATATTTAAAACAACGAAATATTGTACTCATAAAAAAAATGGTAATATTTATGGATAAAATGCATAGGTGTTGATTGTGGCGTTTTCGATTCGGTTATGTTTCGATTTGAAACGGATTTTTGGGATCAAATTTTTAAAAATTATTTTACACTCTCCTTAACCAAATTATACTTTTCGTAGTGGGTGTTTGATAATATTAATAAAATTAAATACTTTAAGCACTTAATAAATTAAACTCGTTTGATAGCTTAAAACTCACATTATTTAATATTTTAAACACATTTTTTAAACAATAGGCTAAAATTTTAAGTATTAAGTCACCTACTTATCACTTAACACTGAAGATATTAGTCAGTAAAAATTTTATCAATTTTTTATAATTGACAAATATATCCTCAATATATTTTACACTCTTAACTTTTCAATACCCACCACTACCATTAAGTTGTCGGGCGTCACTACCACCACCACTACCACCACAAGGCGTCACCACCACCATCATTGTGTCGCCACCACACCATTATTATTGTGTCACTGCCACCACCACCACCGCCACTACCATTGTGTTGTCGTCACTACTACCATTATGCCACCATCATAATTGTGTTGCCGCCACCATTATCATCGTCACTATCATTGTGTTATCGCCACCACCACCAACGCCACCATTATGACATCATCACTATTGTGTCACCGCCAACACATCATTGTGTCACCATTATCGCCGCCGCTACTACCACTACTATTATGACACTACCACTAACACCATTGTCACATCCATTGTGTCGCCGCCACTATCACTATCACCACCACCACCATCATTGTGTTGCCACCATCACCACCATCGTCTCCACCACTACCACCACCACCATCATGATGGCGGTGGCAAGAATAAAGAAGTTACGGATAGATGGTCAAAAAGAATAACAAAATTAGAATAATAGTAATTTTTAGACTTCAGCTCCTTATATTTATCAAATAGTTTAATTCAATTCAATACTTAAATTTCAATTGATACCAAATAGTCTACGAATTAAAAAATTCAGCATTCATCACTTAAAATTTAGTATTTAGTTTTCAGTGTTCAACTTTCAGTTTTATCAAATACCACCTTAGCCTAGGGCTGTCAATTTTCGGCATGACACGTTAACACGACATGAAACAAATACGAAATTAATGGATCAGACACAAAATTAAATGAGCCAATGGGTTAAAATGGATCAACACACTTAAACAAGAAAAAAAATTATGTTGGGCTCATATCAAAATCAGGTCAACCCAATTTTGACTTGATTAACCCGTATATTTTAAACGGTTTGACATGATTCGGATACGAATACGACCTAACTTATTGTAGACCCATTTAACTCGTTTATGGCAATATAGATTGTCTATTATGTATGACTGACGTGGTTTTAACGTTTTTACTTATTAGTTCTTACATCTAATATGGTAATTGATAGTATAGTTCTTGTTTTAATTTTTGGGTTGCAACTTGAATGCATTTTAGTTAATTTCACTGATGAAATGCGATATGTTATTTGCAAAAGAATTATTTGTAATTTTGGATAAATGATTGAATTGTGTATTTAATGGTAATGAACAGGTGCAAAAACAAGTTATGTCTATTAAATAAGTCTATGTTATGTATGTGTGTTAAATAGGTTAAACATATCATGTTATTTGTGTTAATCCGAAAATGACCTATTTTATTAAACGTGTCAAACAAGTCAGGTTCGGATAACCCGTTTAATGACCAGGTCAGGTTAGTGTATACACATTTCGACATAATTATTAAACATGTCAGTTCGGGTTTTGAGATTTTCGACACAAACTCGAAATTAACCTAACACGAAATAATCCAATCCAACATGTTTGACACCCCTACCTTAGCCTGCCTTTTTTTTCTTATTGTAATTTTTTTTAAATTCTAATTTGACCCTCAATTTTAAATTATCTAAGGGTCTGTTTGGTTAGAAAGAAAAAGATGATAGAAAGTGAAAGTGATAGAAAGTGAAGTGAAAGAAAAAGAAACTAAAAACAAATATATTTTCTTGTATGTGTTTGATTATGATGAAAATTTTGTAAGAAAGTTTTAAGAAAATTTCATTTTGTAGTTTGAAAAGCAAAAAAGTTACAAGAAATTTTATTTAATTGTCTGAATTACCCTTATGTATAATTATTCAAAAGTTGCTCTACCCATATGGCTACAGAACATGAAATTGACAATTAATTTATGATCCTTTAATTTTTTTCAAGTTAAAATTCAGCTCACCAAGCTTATAACACTACGTTTTAAAAAAAAAAATAGATTTATATCACCCTAGAAAAAACAAAGATACGAGTTCGTTGAATTAGTCTAATTTTTTATTGACATTGCAAGGCATAATTTGAGTTGCCCATATAACCCAACGCCAATTATTAGGTCTATAAAGTAATAGAATGTAACATTCATGCTATATACTGTAGATAGTTTGCCAAGAGGGAGTATATATATTTATTCTAATCACTACAACAAAAAGTATTTTTTGCGACGTTTTTTTTTGTGACGATTTTTAATTTGTCGCCAAAAATTTACTATTAGCGACGATTTTATAATGTTGTCGCAAATTTCAATTTTGTTAAATTTTTTTGCGACGTTTTTGAAAAACGTCGCAAAAAGGTGATTTCCTCCTAATTGTTTTTTGGCAGGAGAAATGGTGGGAATTGGGTAAGTGATTTTTCGCAAAAACGTCGCCAATAAACTTTTTTCGTAAATAAAAGATTTAAAAAAAATAATTTAATTGATTTTTAACGACGTTTTTTTAAAACGTCGCAAATAAACTTTTTCGTGAATAAAAGATTCAAAAAATAATAATTTAAATTGATTTTTTGCTATGTTTTTTAAAAACGTAGCCAATAAAGTTTTTATTTGAATAAATGATTTAAAAATAAAATAATTTAATTGATTTTTCGCTACGTTTTTAAAAACGTCGCCAATAAACATTTTTCGTGAATAAAAGATTTTAAAAAAAATAATTTAAATTGATTTTTTGCGACGATTTTGAAAAACCTAGCCAATAAACTTTTTAAATGAATAAAAGATTTAAAAATAAAACAATTTAATTGATTTTTCGCGACGTTTTTGGAAAACGTCGCAAATAAAATTTTTACATGAATAAAATATTTTTAAAAAAATTTTAATTGATTTTTTGCGACGTTTTTAAAAACGTTGCCAATAAACTTTTTCGTGAATAAAAGATTTAAAAAATAATAATTTAATTGATTTTTTGTGACGTTTTTTAAAAACGTAGGTAATAAACTTTTTACTTGAATAAAAGATTTAAAAATAAAACAATTTAATTGATTTTTCGCGACATTTTTAAACAACGTCGTGAATAAACTTTTTACGTGAATAAAAAAATTAAAAATAAAACAATGGAATTGTTTTTTCGCGACGTTTTTCAAAATGGTCGCCAATAAACTTTTTACGTGAATAAAAGATTTAAAAAAACAATTAAATTGATTATTTTTGACGTTTCTATAAACTTTTTACGTGAATAAAATATTTAAAAAAAAAACAATTTAATTAATTTTTCGCGACACAAATAAACTTTTTACCTGAATAAAAGATTTAAAAAAATAAATTAATTGATTTTTTGCAATGTTTTTAAACGTAGCCAATAAAATTTTTACCTGAATAAAAGATTTAAAAAAATAATTTACTTGATTTTTTACGACGTTTTTAAAAAACGTATCCAATAAACTTTTTACCTGAATAAAAGATTTAAAAATAAAATAATTTAATTAATTTTTCACGACGTTTTTTAAAAACGTCGCAAATAAACTTTTTATGTGAATAAAAGATTTAAAAAAAAACAATTAAATTGATTATTTAGAAACGTCGCCAATAAACTTTTTACGTAAACAAAAGATTTAAGAAAAAACAATTTCATTGATTTTTCGCGACGTTTATAAACTTTTTACGTGAATAAAAGATTTAAAAATAAAATAATTTAATTGATTTTTCGCGACGTTTTTCAAAAAATTACACTTATAAATTTTTGCGTAAATAAAAATTTTATTCAATGAACACTCAATTCATCAAATTAACATTCAAATTATCAAATTAACATGTAATTTAATCAAATCAACACCAAATTAACATCTAGTTTCATCCAATTAAAATTTAATTTATCATCCAATTAAAATTTAATTTATCAAATTAACATTCAATTAATCAAATTAATAATCAATTAATCGAATTAACAAATTAACACCCAACATCTTCTAATTAACATTCAATTTTTTCTAATAAACATTTAATTCACTAAATTAACATTCAAATTCAACTAGTTAACATTTAATTAATCAAATAAACTTTCAATTTCATTCAATTAACACTCAATTCGTCAAATTAACATTCCAATTATTAAATTAACATTCAAAATTAATCAAATAAACCTTCAATTTCATTTAATGAACACTCAATTCGTCAAATTAACATGCAATTTCATCCAATTAAAATTTAATTTATCAAATTAACATTCAATTCATCAAATTAATATTCAATTAATCGAATTAACACCCAACATATTCTAATTAACATTCAATTTTTTCTAATAGACATTTAATTCACTAAATTAACATTCAAGTTCAACTAGTTAACATTCA